CCGGAAAACGAGAGGAGGCGCGGCGGGATTGGGAACGAAGAGGAAGTCGGGAAACGGCTAGGGTATAAGAAAAAGAAGAAGAAAGAAAAGGAGCTTGGGGCTAGGGTTTTCTTTTCCTTTTGTTTTGTTTTAAAAGCCACATTACCTCAATGGAGGCCCAACCATCCAAGCCCAAGAGAAAGGAGGGGAATTTTAAAACAAGACCCAACATACAGAGTTCGGTAATTATTAATTTAATTGGATTTTTTTCTTAGAGCCCGATAAATATAGATAAATTTAATTAACAATCAATTTAAAATCAAATGAAAAATCTCCTGATTCGAGACTAACTAATCTGAGGGACTCGGGGCGTTACAAAAATAATAATATTTTTCCTTCTTCTAAAAATTGACTCAAATCAATATGGGTAGGTGCAGACATCTCAGCAGGAGGTGTAGTCATCTCAATAGTAGCAACATAAGTTGGAGTGGCTGCCATAATATTGTCAATATCATTAGTAGGTGATGGGTTATCTGCCACGAGAGTATCAAAGAGAGCAGGTACATTTCTGCCATCTGCAGAAGTTGTAGAACTTGGAACAAAAGAGGGAGACTCATCAAGTGTTTCAACAACATACGAAGGGAGTACAAAATCAGTAAATACATCAGTACTAGAAGCATCATGTTGTGGAAAGGGAAATATTCCTCATGAAACATGACATTTCTTGAAATGAAAATCTGCTTCTTACTAATATTATTTAATTTGTAGCCCTTGATCCTTGAAGGATACCCAATGAACACATAAGGGACGATGCGTGGATCAAACTTCCGTTTGTGAGAACTCAAAGTGGAAGCATAACGGAGACAACCAATCGCACGTTGAGAAGAGTAATCAACATCTTTATGGTGTAGAACAATGAATGGAGTGACATTTGACAATAGAGGCATAAGGGTTCAATTAATAAGATAAGCAGTAGTTAAGACACAATCACCCCAAAAACGTAGAGGAACACGAGATTGAAAAAACAAATCTCGAGCAACATTTAACAAATGCTGATGTTTATTGCTCAACTACTGAATTTTTGTGAGGACGTTCAACACATGAAAATTGATGCACGGTACCTTTGGATGCAAATAAATTAGTAAATTGAAGTTCTGGTGCATTATCTGATCGAAAAACTTTAATCACTTTTGAAAATTGAGTCTCAACAAGCTTAAAGAAGCGATGAATGATATGCAACACATCAGATTTATACTTCATCAAATATAACAAGGTATAACGAGAACAATCGTCAACAATGGTAAGAAATATGAGTAACCATTATATGTTGAAGTATGAAACGGACCCCAAACATCACAGTGGACTAAGTAAAAAACAGAATCAGCCACATTATTGTTTGTAACAAAAGACAGATGACATTGTTTAGCTAAGGGACAAACTGAACAAGGAGAATCAGTACATCGATCAGGCAAATCTAAAACATTTTTTAAAAGAGCTAGACGTGTAGGAGATAAATGTCCTAAACGATTGTGCCAAGTATTTATGGAAGCTTTACAAAGAAATGCAGCAGTAACATTGGTGCAAGCTGACCGAGAGAACAAGTATAAGTCGTTCAAATAACTAGCCTTCCCAATCGTCCTTGAAAGTGATTTGTCCTGGATAACACAAGAACTAGTAGAAAAAATAACTGAGTATGCACCGGAACTTAGTAATGAACTGACAGAGAGTAAATTGAATGTGAAATCGAGGACAAACAAAACATCGTGAAGTAGAAGGTCATCTGAGATGTATATATATCACCCACATAATCAACATGAATTCGGGCAACTTTAGGCAGAATGACTAAAGTATTCAAAACAAGATGTATGTTGGAAAATAACCCTCTCGTATGACAAATGTGAATGGAAGCATCCAAATCAACAAACCAAGCATCTGAAATGTTTTCTGTAATTGAAGATAAAGCTAGAAACCAAGTACCTGCTACGTGAGTCACAGGATTCGTAGAGATAGGCTAAGATTTTGGTCCTGATAGGTGAGTATTGAGCATGTCCATTAGTTGTGCATATTGGTTGGGATTCAAACTAGCAAAGAAAGCTGGTTGATTTGAAGAAACAGTGGTTGTTGTGGCTGAAGAGGAGGCCAATTTTTTAGCAGGAGAAACAATACTTGAGTTTGAAGGATATCCTGATGTGTTGAATGAATTCCGTCGTTTATAGCCTGGTGGATACCCATGAAGCTTGTAGCAATGCTCGATTGTATGTCCTTTAAGACCACATTGAGTACAATGAGGACGTTGATATACTCTTTTGCAAAACGATCATTCACAGGCCGTTTAGAAGTCTCGATAGCAGCAACCAAAGCGATTGAATCTGGAGTGGAAATCGATCGTTGGTGTTCTTCTTGAATTATAAGAGAAAAAACCTTATTAATTGGTGGAATAGGTTCCATTAAAAGAATTTGTGCTTTGACTCTAGCATAAGACTCATTTAGCCCTATCAGGAACACCATTATGTACTCTGAATTGAAGTAATCAAAGATTTGCTTTAGTCCTCCGTAAGTACAGGTTCTGGGAGGGCGATATTCACATAATTCTTGCCAAACTATTTTAAGTTTAGTATAATAAACCTCTACAAATGAGATTCCTTGAGTAATCGTCACAAATTCCTTCCGAAGTTGATAAATCCCCGGTCCATTACTTTGTTGAAAGCGATCCTTAAGTTCCTCCTATATGTCTTGTGCCGAATATGAGTAAATGAGACTAGCTGCTATCTCTTTGGAAACTGAATTCATTATCCAAGAAATTACCACATCATTGTTCCATTTCCAGGCATGTAGCATATCAACACTTGGTTTCTTGATAGTTCCATGATTGATTCCTATTTTATTTTTGGTCGAAAGGGCAATTAGCATTGCACGATTCCAAGAAGTGTAGTTATTGGCTCCTGATAGTTGCTGAGTAACAAGGATAGTAGCAAGACCGAAAGAGTGATGAAAAAGAAATGGGTTCAATTGCGATTCAAAATTGGAAGAATTTTTGACCTGACATCTCCGATTGTACTTGCGAAAATGGAGGAATTGATGATAGATGAACCAATGGTGGAGCAAGTGCGGCAACTCGGAAGATGTAGCGAAGGATGGAATCGACGACGGCACCAGATCATCCAAAACGAATCATAGCAATTCGATAATAGAAAATAAGAGAAAATTATCTATGCTCAGATACCACATCACTGATATGGGAGAATTGAAATCTGTTATTATTTACATATTATCTTACTCAACAAATAATAATATCTCACAGTACATATATATAAAGGGGGAGACCTAGCTAATTTTAGTAAAAATAATTAACGCAAGCAGTTAACAAACTAACTATAGTTAACAAAATATTAACAAACTAACCATAGGTAAATACAACTAATAATGGCAATTGTTAAGGCATTTAGAGAGAGTTTTGTACAGCATTTGTGAAGTCCATTGTAATATTCACAATCATAGTAGAACCCTCACATAGCGGAACATTGGACGAAGCCCGTGCTTGGGGTGAACTAGTATAAATCTCTGTGTCATTTCGTCTCTCTCTCATATTCCTTTATTGTATTGTTTATCTAAGATTTGTTCATAACTGTGGAAGGGGAAAAATCAATTTGTTGGGTAGCTCGTGTTAGAGGACTAGTGAATTGCACATTTGGCATATTTTTCCTAAGATACTTGTCTATGGAGTGGAATATGCAAGTCTTGAAGGAGGAAAGATATACAAGGTCAGAAGTTGTACTGGTCATGACGCGATATTTAACTTCAGCACGCTTCTTGGAGGACTAAGAGATAAGATTTGAACCAAGGAAAATGCAATATCTTGATGTGCTTTTTCAAGTGATATGACAGCCACCCAATCTATATCATATAAAGCATACAAGTTTAGTAAGCTATGTTTTTTAAATAATATATCGTGGTTTAATGTGCCTTAGAGGTAACGAATGATCATTTTGACTGCACGAAGGGGTTGCATTTGAGGGTATCGGAGGTGTTGACATACTTTATTGATAGTGTAGACACCGTATTTGGTTCGACTCAATTTGATTTGATTCATCGAAGGCGTTAACACAATGTTATGTCATAATTCAAAACATGCGCTCACCCAAGTCAGACGAGCAACTCGAAAGGCAGATGGTTTAGCTACAGAGACATGTGTTGGCTTTTTCGAGCTTCAATCATACCATATGTTTTGATGATAACAAACTTAATCTATTGATGATTTTTGTGTTTCAAAGTGTCCATAGCGTAGAGCATAACAAGACAAATCCAACGCAATTTGAATGGCTCAAATCAGAGTTTAAATGAAGAAGTTATGATCGAAACAAGTCGAACGAAAAATACCCGAGAAGATGACGTGGACAAACATTATGGCGAGCTGTATT